GCCGCGCGCGAAATGGGCGGGGTGACCTACTTTCGACGGACACGCGCAACGGACGTTCTCCTAGAAGAAAGATATACATATCTCTGAAGTAGTCGTTGCGTTGTTTGTACTAAGCTAGAAGAGGCCCAATGTAAGATCAAAAATGCATAACTTTGTTCAAAGAAATTCCTAGAAGGCAAGAAAAAATGATCAGAAGTAGTAGGCGACATGGGTCGAATTTTGGAGTGAGTTATAGTTCTGCTCCGAAAGCGTCTCAGGTTGCACTCACCATTGCGTAGCTTCGCGTTCGAAGAAATTTTTTGTTCAGAATAACACTATGACTACCTCATTAGCTCACTAGTGTGATTTGTACTGTGCAATGCAATCCACCTCGTCATAATGATGTTGTATTTGTTGTACACATGGCGGTGTCATGAACAGTACGGAAAACAGACACTCATGTTGATTAAAAATTGAACTTCGCCAATAATCAGCCAAGAATAACAATTGTGTGACTATGCAGAAATTGTGCCGTTCTTCCAAAGACTGTGAACTCAGTATATGGCCAAAAAAGCAGGAGGATTCTAAACATAAGTGCAAATTCGTGATTAACTGTTCGGGTCAGTCCCTTACAACGATCGTCGTCCCGTCGTCAAACTAAGCAACTCTCTCCGCTGACATCTCACTGCCAAAACTAGGGACCACGGCTCGCCTTCACATCAAATGGCTGGAGAAGGCACGTTATTAAAATGTGAAGCAGAGACATTAAAGAGATGAGAGGCTGCCAAGCTTCCAGAGCCGAGTTATATTTTAGACTTCTGAGAACTAGAAAATCGAGCCACAGAGGGCAAGCTTGGCCTTTTCAACATTCAGGGCAATCAAGGCGGCAGCGAATTCGCTCAAAATTTCTCTCTAAAGTGAAACTTTCCTTCCAATCAACTAGCCAACCTACCAGTCCAACTTTATATCATAAAGTGGCGAGGGCTTTAACACCCTTGGAAGCGTGCTAGTGTTATAACTTCGGTTTGATTGATTGAGATTACAAACGACAGACTCGTACGTCTCTTTATTTGGAGGAGTTGAATTCCGTCAAGTGCTGTGAACATTGATTCAGGTTTTAACAGACATTGCTTATTACCATCAAAGCTGAAGTAAGTCTCCATGAAAGTTATTGTTAGGTGAACAGATCTATGGCCTCATAAGATGGGCCTTCTGCATGACTATGCAGTGTATCTTATTTATTTATTTATTTATTTATTTGTTTATTGAATGCGCTCAAAAGGCGCGCTACAACAGAAAGCTCGAGCCGCAGGTTCTGCATCACAAGAGAAATTAAGAGGTAAGAGAATAAAAATAAAAGAAGTGATCAAACGGAAAAATTCTTGACAGGAAGGCCTGTAGGACAGGGGGTTCATATAACACTTTTCAACTTACTGGATCAGACTTCACTATCTGACAGAGAGTGCTACCTTCTCACTTAATACTTCATATTATCACTTAACAATTTATCTGATGATATGGTTTAAAAACCGCTTCAGAGTTTTTATGTAGTATTTTTGAGTGAACCCAACAGCGTTAAACTTGTTATGTAAACGAGACACTGGGTAAAAACAAGGGGATATCACTGTTAAGGCGACTACGCAATGTAAATCCTATCTGGCGGCGTAGAGTACATTTTGATGCGCACCACGTGGGTGACCCTTCATTCCACTTCATTCTAGCTCTGTTCACTCGTAGCGGTGCTTGCTCTCAAGCTCAAGACTTCATGCAGATCAACTTGTTTCTCTGCTAGGTTGTTGAGGGGGCAAAATTTCGAGTTACTACTTGGTTTACTGACAGATAGATTGCGAATTTGATACATTTCTTTCCTGTTCACCTTCATCAGAAAGTCGAAAGCTGTATGCATCAAAAAGCAGTCTCTTCAAAGGTCTTCTAGAGGATGAAAATCATTGACCTTTGATTCGGCAAAAGCTTGCTGATTTCGAAGATAACTCGAGACTCTATGCATCAACGGATTAATCCGACCACTCATCCTTCCTTTATTATCACTCAGACATTCTTCTAACAACATTATCAGATTAAACACAGTACATCCCACTCTTGGCCGTTGGTTGCTTACCGAGTCAGCTGTGTTCTTTATACCTTCACTAAGGCCACATTCGTTCCTCAGTCAAACATTTGTCACTTAGCTGAATCTTCTGATGTTAAGTGGATTATGCTTGCGATTGAGTTTTACCGCGTGGGATTTCAACATTTGGAAGAGCCTTTTCCTACCATAACTATGAAAAATCCGCTTCTGTCTTTTCAAAAAGGCTTTTACCCTAATTGTGCGATACTATCATTTCAAGACTTCTGACGATGTCTGATAAAAAAACAGAAGTGCCCAACGAAAGAAGGTGAGGGCTACCTGGAGATTTTCATGTTAATTTGTTGATTTCAGTGAGTATTTTCCTTCTCACTGTAATGGAGCGTGCTATTGGAGTACCGCTTCTCAACACAACATTTGGAATACCGCTTCTCAACATGACATTGAATTTTGAGCCAGAAACGAGAGTATCGGGTAAGATTTTCAGAGATGAATGAAGAAATGACAGAAGCACGACAGAACATGCATTCATAGGTTATTATTGAAGATTCGAGCAATTGGCTACTTGCCATTGCAATCCTCGGCGCTTTGGTCTTGTTCTCTTTGCTGGTCGTTGGATTCCGATTTATACTCCGAAAACGTTCATCTCACGTGACAACTCATGCGGATGTGGAGAACGCTAAAACAGGCACCAATCAAAGTTACTAGATTTCAATATCATTTTGTTATCATTGTTTCAAAAGCTGAGCTTTGCTTTACGGTCTACTTCCTCAAGATATTAACGAGATGTTCGGCACCCATCGCATCGGAAAAACTTCCGTTTTTCGCAGTAATGGCTCAGTGGCAGGGGCAAGGAAATATGTTTTCTTTCAGTTCCACAAGAATGATAACATGATATGTGTTGCATATTCTCTTTTTATGGAGAATTGAGCGTAATAAACTTTGATACGAATACGGCGNTGGCAGGGGCAAGGAAATATGTTTTTCTTTTAGTTCCACAAGAATGATAACATGATGTGTGTTGCATATTCTCTTTTTACTGGAGAATTGAGCGTAATAAACTTTGATACGAATACGGCGCAATCTTACGCCGCTCTCGTTTCAAATTTGATCACCTCGTTCGTGTATGAGCTTTTATATTTCGACTTTCTCAAGATCTTTGCGAATTCATTAGTATTCTATACCTTTCACCTGTTCCGCCCTTTCTATTTTGCTGGGTGGCCTTCGGATATTAGTTGGTGTGGAGACATGGTATTAGGAAAGAAACCTTGTGGCGAAATGTAAGGCAATGAAACACACCATTTCGTTCCGACGAGGTGGAATGTGTCCTGCAATCTCCTCCAATCTTCGAGAAGAATAACCTTGTCTACCGCAAAACGACTTAGAGGTGGTCATCAATTACAACCTTCCTTCACAACCGTGAGGCAACCTATAGAGAATTTATCACAACAATCCTTCTTTCAGACGTGGCTGGACTGACTGGATAGAAGGGTTTAAAAAGGCTGAGCTGGTTTTGTCACGTGAACACTATTGTATAATACGCTGTATAGTACGGTGGTGTAGTGGCAGGGGGCGCAATGTCCCACACGCACGGTCAGGGGTTCGAATCCCGGATCGATGCCCGCCTAGGCCAACCAAGCCTTCCATCCCCTCGGGGTCGGTGAATTGGTACCAGGCTCGTCTGGGAGGATAAAAGCACTGACTTGTACATCGGCTGGCCAACGCAATTCATTGTATAGGCCACATACGCACTCATTACGCCACTACGATTCTGAATTGAAGTCGAGTGCGGGGGCGCATTCCTCAGACGGGATGGATTAACGCCAAAAACTTTATCCTTTTTATTCTTCATAGTACGGTGACTCCTTTCTTCAACAAAACAGTTTCGAATATTTCTCTTCCAAAAGCATTCAGGAAGAATTCAAACATTCGTGCTGGCATCTTTCGATGTTCTCTGTGATCCCTGAAAACGGTGTTGATGAGTCAGTTGCGAAGTTAAAATAGCATGGTGTTTGAGAACCATATGGAATTTTCGAGAGAGGGGAGACAAGGAGACTCTAGTTTAAGGAGTACCCCCTGCTTTATTACAGCAGCTCTCTGAGACATGTATGGAATACTGTGAAAACAACAAGATGGAAAAGGCAGAAACTTCATGGGCTGTCTTATCGTTGTAGCCGGTGTATCAGGAGTGCGATGTGCATTCAAGAAGTTGCGATCATTGATAAGTCTGAGAAGACGCAGTTGGAACTTTGACGATTGGTGTACCTTTACGATGCCGATGAAACAAAGTGCCAATTATCCCATTATATCCTACTCACTGTTAAATGCTTGTTTGCTTGTCATTAAAAAGTTAGAAATTGACTCAATAGTACTAGTGGATCTATTATCTAGATCTATCTCTATATCTGTCTGTTGCGAGTGGTGAAGATTGTTTCGCAGAGTCGGAGTAGTGGTTCTTCCGAAGTTGTATGCCCTTCCAAGCACTTTTTGTAAAGAAAAGGGACTTGGTAGAGTTCTTCAAACTTTTCTCTGTACTAAGGAATTCATGAACGTTCCTCGCAACCAATGCCTCAGAACATTAGACAGTGAAATCTGTACTATGACTTCAGCTAGCAAAATCAAAAATCTTTGGTGTTGCCTACTCCTTCCTGTTAAACACTGGAAGCTGAAAACCTTCAATGATCGTAGGAAGAAGGAAGCGATACAATTTTCACCCCATCCGCACACGAATTGAGTCTAGAGGGTAGTGTTATCAGAAGCAAATCCTGAAGACATTTGAAAACAGACGTTCGTGCAGCCAAAGCGGCTTCATTCTTAATAGCGCCTTGACCACTCGGCTCTATAGTCATGCATTTGGGGTTATTCGAGGGTCTAGTCAAAAACGAAAATTGCGAGATGGTCAAACGCAGCTTGCAACACTTACCCACTTATTATATGTTCTTTTCTTCGCCTATGAGCATTACCGTACGTCATTATAAAAGTCATTTATAAGGCAGTCTCCGGGAGGTCTTACGAAATGGAGTTCGTGTGGACAACGAACAGAAGTTTGAAAGCACAGAGCCTCAGTGTACCTTCACGAAGATGGGAAATTGTGGAGAAGTACTTCCTCATAGTTGACTATATGGATTCAGGTAGAGCACGCGCATGCACTCGCCTAGCTCTTCACAGACTCCACAGGTGTTTAATATAATTTCACGAGATAATCACAGCATTGGGAGACTTCCTGAGTCTAAGAAGGCGAGATGCATCGCTTTTCGCTCATCATGATGGTTTGTTGCCATTGGACAAGAATAGTTGAATGCTCAAACCATTAAATCCATACCATCATTATCAGTTTCCATTCGCTTTCGAGGGGGATATATGGTGAAGCTTTTCTTCTCGTGGTACTTCCGGTCTACAGCTTTGCGTGCTAATCGAGTTCGTCGAACTGGACACTGCTCACCTTTTTCGATACGAACAGCTGTGGCCATTGAATTGGAAGTGTCCTCCCGAATTTTCTTGACATTCATCACAGGCTAGTATTCACTAGCCACCTCTTCACACTTCTAATGGTAATAATGGCCTCTTCATAACTGTATGGAGTTGCTAGGCCAAAACCACTTTGATCAGGTGAGGGTAAAGGAAGTTCAAATTGCATGTGGTCCCCCTAATTTTTTCATTATGTAAACTCGAAAAACTTGAGCAAACAGAACAGGAAAGGAAAGTGTTCCTATGTATGTATGGGTCAATGTTTGGAAGACAACAAAATTTATTGACTTCTTGACCTGAATAAGTGGAAAAGTTGAGTGTGAACGTATAATACTTATCATTCAAGGAAATGGAAGTGGCGCAAACAATATGTCGACTGGATCGGATATCTGATGAGAAAAACATACTTTGCGAGAGAATGGCTATGGCTGAGGTCAGGAGCTGTGCCTGCACTGTTGCTACACAATGGTCTATCACAATTGAAATCGCTATCTCCCTCGCTCGTGTTGTTTCTACTTTTATGCCATTGTATTATAAATGAACATATAATATTAATTGTTCTCTATTTCTTGATCTTTTTTCTCATATTCTTCTTCTCTCATATTCTTAATCTTGATCCTTCTTCTCGCTTTCTTTATAGAATCGTGAAAAGCATTTCTTCGGATGACCAGTGAATTTTTTTGTGAATCTGGTACATTTTGATTAGCAATAAATTTTTATAGGCTCACGCTTGTGAGCAATAACGTCAATTTTTTTGATTACGCAATTCGAGCTGTGCTATGATCGTTTTCTGGTTCCATTTTTGAAGGGTGTCAGAGTGAACAGACCGAGTCCTAAAGCGTATGTTAACAAATTAAAACAAAGCAGCACTCCCATAGGAGATGAGTGAGACATACAGTAGCGCCCAACAGTCTTGAGCCAAATGTTTTTTCAGTCGTGCTTTTCGATTCCCCTTTTCTACTGGATCTAATCATGCGAAATCCCAATAGGTACAGCACGGGTGTGTTGTGAATGTTGACCACTATGGCTGCTTTCATAGTCCGCTGGCGTGCGTGCCGGCCGGCCGGCCGGCGTGCAGGCGGAGGCAGTGCTAGCGGAGAGGAGGGAGAC